GGACATGAAACGTTCTAAAAACGTTTTAGGAATGTTTCTAGAACAAAGACGTTTTCGTGCCCAGAGGGAATTAACAAACAGTATTTAACAATAATTATAATTTTGAATCAGCGGAAAACTAACTATTTTATCGCAGTTTTTACTACAGATTGTTACCTGCGTCTTCTGAAACTTTAAGAAGTAGATAAATGTCAAATTTATCAGGCTTTTTGTTTGTACTTAATTACATTATTACCCTAGGTAGGTAATAAGTCGAATCCTTACACGGTCCTATGTATATTTTCTGGGTAAGATCCAGGTAGAACAGCTTTATGTGCCAACATGGGTTCTACCCTACTAAAAATAACCCATATGAGATCTTATGCGGGTTCTTACACAAAAACCCATTAAAAATCCCATTATCTACTAAGATTAGTCCCATGTAAAAGCACATGTTATATGAATTCACATAGGATTTTATGCGTATATGACACAGGATTTGATATGGAACTTGCTTATTGTATTACATTAAAGATCTAATGTGAGAATATTCAAAGGATCAAAAATTATTTCATTAAGTGGGGACCCTCATTTATTGCGTCAAAAAAATCGATTTTCTGGAAATAATTTTAATCGATTCTAGAACTATTTAAGAATATAACTTTCAAATTTTAAGTCGATATCTGTATTATTGCAAAGAAGTTACAAAATTTCATTTTTCATGCGTCGTCTGGTGAAATGTTCACCAGAATTCGGAGTTTTTTTCTGTTTTGGCATTCCATCTGCCTTCTTTCTTTATTCAGGGTACCACTTTGAGTATAATTTGTAATTTCTATGTGGCAACCCTACTTTTATTTGTTTGACCTTCGCGTCACTTTTTAAAAAAAAACTTCAAACGCATTTTTCTCGAAACACCATTTTCTAATTTTGTTTTCACGATTAAGAACACCCTATTGAACCAATCAGGCTTTATGATACCTCATTTTAAAGATAATTAAATAATCTTCAATGTGACATTTAGTGTTTCTTGAAAAAAAAAATTTCATATTTTTTTGGAATTTTAAAGTCAATTTTTATGCACGAAAAATCACTTTTAACATAAAAGTAGGTAAAAATAATCAGTCTCGAAATTTTTTTTAAATCGAAATGTTTCATCGAAGGTATTATCCTAAAATTTAAAGAAAAATTTGGTTTCTTTGTTTTAGAAAAAAATCCAGAGCGCTAGAATGTACACAGATAAAATGAGGTGTCATGGACGCCGTGTATATTTACATACTAAAAATGTTTTGTTTTTTCTCCAAAAATTTTTTTAGACCGTCAAAACATGTATTAACCCTAGAAGGAGTACGTTAATTTACTCACCCTCTAAGGAGTAACTGGGGTGTCCCGATACCCCACGCTTTAAACTTGTTTTATAAGGTTTATATTTAACGTAAAAAAATTTATTATAATGAATTGATTGGTTTTTCAGTAAGGAATACAATACTATTATTCATATTTTGATAAATTAAAAAATTTTCGAAAAAAGCCAAAAAAACACTAAAAAATTGCAAAATTGACTTTTTTTACAAAAAACGTTGTAGTTTCTTAAAAATTTGACTAATTTAAAAACTATTTTAGGTTTTTAAAGTTAAATAGATACACTTTTAGGGGAAAAAATTAGTTTTTGTATTTCTTTCAAAAAACATAATTATTTGAACATCTGAAGTGAAAGAAATTAAAGACAATTGACGAATAGTGAAAATCATAAAAATGAACTATAAAATGGACTTAAACAATTAATATTGACTAAAAATGGTGTTATAAATTAAAAATTTTACAAACTTAATATATCTGAATATATTAACATTAAAATTAATAACTTATGAAATGATTCTGTAAATTAATATTTAATCAAAGTTTTAATTAACAATTCTTAATACCTCTAATATATGTTAAAATATTATTAACAATATAGAATTTATAATTTAAATTTGACTGTCATATATACTACATTTTTTCGTATTAGAATTTAATTTCTGACTGTAGAGACAGCACATAAATTTTTAATAAATCTTAACTCAAATTTCATAAGTTGTTACAAATACAGAATGTCTATTTTTCATAAAAATAGAATTTTTGTATAAAAATGTTCCTTTTTTATAAAATAAAACTTTTTCATGCATAACCTATCAATTTATACTTTATCAGATGATTTTAACTGATTAAAAACGATTTTTTTTAAATTTGAATTTACCTATCTTGACAATTTTTCTAACGTTAGGGAGTAACTGGGGTGTCCAGACACCCCAGACGTATTTTAACGGGAGATAGAGCTCTTCCTAGAGCAAAACTTTTAGCGGCACATACAGGTGTCAAAAGATAGGTTCGAACTAAATCATCAACGGGTTTTGAGCGTAAAAAAATTATTGGTTAAGTCATGGGAATACTTTGAATTTTGCTTGGGGTGTCCAGACACCCCAGTTACTCCTTCTAGGGTTAAAGTACCCTATAAATTACAAACCGTTTGAAGTTATTTTACCCGAGAAAAAAAATCCCAAAAATGACGCATTTTTCGACCGTCTAAATGAGGCTCCCCCCTTAAAAATTAAATTATTTATTGTAATTGTATTGAAATTTATTAGAAAAAAGGATTTGATACCTGGTGTATTCCACGTCAGTTCAACACAAAAAATTTTACTAGGTTTTGGGATTCAGTTGAAATTTAGTAGATTATATTCTCTAGTAGTAATAAATAAAATCCTTAAGCAATTTTAAAAAATTTCAAAAATTGACGGACATATTGGATTTTCAATTTTTTTGTACTTTTTTTTGAAAATTATGTATCTTTAGTTCTACTTAACGGATTTTAGTTTGTGACCTCTTAAATTGTTCGTATTGAAATATATTTTTATTTAAGAAATTAAAATTAAAAAAATTATTTAAATTAATTGTTTAAACAATTAATTTAATTTTTTGAAAAGCTATAGAAAAAATATGAAACCTTCAATTTTTATTATTTTTTTTACCATTATAGTAGCCATAAATGTCTTGAACTTGTCCTGAAATTTTCATCGTGGGACAGCCAGTAGTTTTCGAGAAAAAAAAATAAATCTTAAATCCGAGCATAGCGCTGTAGCGCGCCTTTACAATGACGGATTGAATATTTTAAAAGGTAAATAGAGACATTTTAAGAGTACAATACTAAATTATGCATTACTTGAAAAAATTTAAGTTTTAAAATAAATAAAGCGACGAAAATTAAGGAAAATAGATGTACCATTTAGGGGAGAGTAGGCTACATTGAACCAGCGTCAACAGTGAACCACTTCAATTTTCTGAGAAATGACTGAGTGAAATTGTTTCTTATTCAATATGTAACTTAGTATTACCGAAGCAGACTATGTCCAAAAATTTCCGGCACGTAGGTTTATTATTTACAAAGAAAAACTAAAAAAAAATGTTTTTCACGTACAAAACAAAAAATTTGGTGGAATTATAATGACGTTTTTTATTAAAATAGGAAGTTTTAAAAATTAGTAAACTTGTGATTTATTTCGCTTAGGGTGTCAACTTCAATATTTCGATGTGATAAAGAATTTTAAATCTTACAAAAATTTATTATAAACAATTTTTGTTGTAAATGTCATGTCTATACAGTGAGTGCAGCATCATTAAACCACCCGAATTTACAGCGTATGTTTAATTTTAAGAGTGGTTAAGTTGCCTGCTCTACTAACTAGTAAGAAAAATACTGGAAGACATGCATTCATTACAATTGCCAACGTGATAAACCTAAACCGTCACTTTTGCTACCTAACCTGACATCGAAATATATTAATCTCCTATATTAACAAATCATAACTATTTAACAACAAATTTATATTTTTTTGGGTGGAAAATAAGATTTTTTACAATGTGTAAGTGGAAATATTATTTTCGAAGTAAATTGTAGTATTTTATTAGAGGTGGTTCATACATACTTTGAACTTCGCTTGGGGTTCCTAATTTTATTTTGGTTAAGTCAACCTGAAAATTCAAATATTATTTACAAAACGTATATATATATATACAAATGTTAAATGATTTTCAAATAGAATAAAAATAATTTATTGCAAAGGAGGTTTTTTATTCTTTAACGAGGGAGTTTCTGAGGTCTTACAGTTATTCTTTGCGTATTTTTTTCTTTAAAAACTGTAAATACTTTTCAATCTTTAGTAGCAGAAAAAAGCTTTGTTTACATCTATACTGTATTACAGTTTAAGCTTTTATTTGTCAAAATTGAAAACAAAAATCATTTTCTTCTATTTACATTTCAAAAGTGGTCATAGCTTCCGAATTTGACAAATTATCACGAGTGAGGATGACAGATGAGAATAGATTCGTTTTTGTTTACGCGACCGCGCAAACAACAAAGTGCGTATACTCAACCTACAGATGAAAGTGTGCGGATTTACGTTTTATTTTTTTCTCAAATACTACTAGCTGTCCCATGATGGAAATTTCAGGACTAGTTCAAGACATTTATGGCTACAAATGGTAAAAAAATGAAAAAAATTGAAGGTAGCATATTTTTTCTATGGCTTTTCAAAAAATTAAATTAATTGTTAAAACGATTAATTTAAATAATTTTGTTTAATTTTAATTTTTTAAATATTAATATATTTTAATACGAACAATTTAAGAGGTCACAAACTAAAATCCGTTAAGGAGAACCAAAGATATATGATTTTGAAGAAAAGAGTACAAAAAAAATTAAAATCCAATATCCAACCCACTAAAGATCTCACGTAGGATTGCAATGTGGGCATTTTCAGTAGGGTATAAAGGAAAATACAAACTGGGACCTAGTTAAAAAAAGGTGAAATCTAGGTAAAACCTATAAAGGGACATTACGCAATTTCTACACGGGTTATTATATTTTAGTTTGTTAAAAATATTAATAGCATTTACTATGGAAGCTCTAGTTGAAGTTAAAAAAATTGTACAATATAACATAAAAATATAACTATTAAAAATATTCACAGAATTAATCATTTCAGAGTCAACTTTAAAAAACTGCGTCCAAGGGCTCCACTCTTCAAAGACTCGAAAGTATTCCAGGAATTGCAGAAAGAGGCCACAGCAGAACCTCCACTAGTTCAGGAACTCAAACGTAATACAACCTTCCTTCAAAGGCCAGAACGACCCATACCAAAACCAAAGTCTACTAATGCTGAAGAAAACACACCAACTCAACCACAGGAAACGTATAAAGTCGTGATAAAGAAGCAGACGAAAAAGAGTATTACTGAACGTCTTGTAGAAAAAGGTCTTTTGGAGCCAGGATGTGTAAAGTGCTCCGAACAGGGATCAGAGGTAAAAATGTTTGTGCCAAGTTGGGCAGTTGAAGCGGACACACAATCCTCGAACTATGTTAATTCCTTCGAAGCAAACAAATTGGTGAATTCTGAAACCATAAATATTAACGATTCCGCGGGAATCACAAATTCTGCTAATTCCTCTGAATCCTCAAACGTTTTGAATTCCTCTAAAACCTTGATAAATAGGAATTCCCCAGAATCAATATCCAACCTACATTCCTTGATACCTGAAGGATCCAACTCGAATTTAAAATCATCCAAGTCGTTGGAATCAATGAGAGTGACATCAGATTCCTCTCTGACAATGAACAAGTGCGGATTCATCTGTAAACCTAAGCGACTGTATATGAGGAACCGATACTTTGAAAACTACTTTTTAAGAATGAAGCGCACAGGCGTGAAGAAGGAGAGAGTCAGTGGCTCAAAGCTATATCGAAAAGGTCGATACTTGACAAAAATTATTAACTCCTTGACCCAGTCACGCTCCAATCGTAAATCAAAAATTAGATCTAATAAGTTGATCATTCGGGGCCACTATGTGGAGAGGTATCTGGTTCGCAAAAGCACTTGGGCAATTGCGAAGGCAAAATATGGTATTCAAAGCCTTTTTTTCTCTCAGAAACGTTCATCAAAAAATTTCCAGAATAAAGGTCGATATATGAAACGTATTTTAGCGCAATATATGGCTTCTTCAAAAGTCGTTTTTAGTTCTCTTTGCGTTTCCGGAGATACAGAATCCTGTTCTTCTGGATCTAGTTTCCTTTCCTCGCTTACTAATGAAATTTTTCATAGGGGTTGTAAGAGGTTGTGGTCCAAATACAGATCCGATTCTGGATGGATTGATTGGCTTAAGAACTTAAGTGGTATTTCGTTAAAGGTGACAAAGAAATTCCCTGGGGAAGGAGAAATTTTATGCAATGAAAAACCTCTGGACATGGAGAATTTGAACGATAGTCGCCGATTGTCTTTCGTTCCAACAGTTCTTTTTGATGGCCTCACTAATAGTATTGGAGTTGATTTCACTAGAGTTGTTGTCTACGCTTTCGTTCCCTGCGCTTCGATGGTCTTGCTCTATGCATACAAATAGAAAGGTGTCAAATTAAGAAAAACAATTTGAGACAAAAACATCCTTAAAACATTAATGTCTATTCAAAAGTTATTTCAGAAACATCTTAAGTTCTAAAACGCCTTCTGCACATAAAATATCTTTACGTTTTTGAGAACGTTATTCACATTAATCACTTTATCTCTTCTTTAACAGTAAACGAACTTAAGATATAGATGAATATTATAATAAAAGTAATATTTTTTGGAACTGCAATACAAGTTGTAAAAGACAGTACCAGGAGAGACGTTAGTAGAGGAAAGTTGTTTTGGATACACCGCAAAGATTGGTACACCGCGTTCATTCTAACGTATAAACTAGTACAATTTTCCTTTCTAAGCAAAAATTTTCTGCATAATTAATAGCATGCACAAATTTTAACATACTAGTGTATTCAAAATACAATATATAGTCTATAGTATACTAGTGTATTAGAAATCCACTATAGTTTAATTATACAGTATACAAGTGTTATAAAAATAAACAAAAGTACACTGTTCGTAAAAAGCAAATCATTTGAAAGCAAACCTATTTTTACCCTCTTTTTGTGCAATAAAATTTTTTCTGAAACCTTTGTTGTAATTTGTATGATACTTGTTGACTGCAACAATTTTTCTACTCTACTTTTTTCCGTTACTTTTGAATGTATTCTAATATTCTTCTGTCACAAGCAGGTGTATTTTTATATTAACTTATTGAAAGTTTTTATATCATTTTTAAGGTGTACCAACCTATGCTTTAAGTGGCTTCCTCAACAATTTTTCAATTTTTTTCAAAAAAGTAAATTACTTCTGTAGTACTAACCCAATAATTTCCCTTAGGAAATCCATTAGGAAGCAAAACCATTACTTTTTAAATTATAGGCCTACAAAATTTAGAATTTTGTCAGACCCACAAACGGGATAAGTCATTTCCGATGTAATTTGTCACCCTGAATCCAAAACTGGTAGCGAAATTGCTCTATCACGTCAGGATTCTGAGATATTCTAACCTAAAAGAGTAAAAAAGGCCATTTTTGGCAACATTCGACTCTCCATAAAATCTACAAAAAATTTTTTGTATTATTGGAACAAATTTTAAAAGAAAGTACAATTATTCACCTTTTAAAATATTCTACACCCAATCCGATCCGACTTTTTTTTACTAAGATACAACAATTTAAAGTTTAGGTTACACGACCTAAAAACTGAAAAAAGGAAGAAAAGAATAATTGGAAAGTACTTTAACTTAAGCATCTGATTCTTAATATTTTGGGATTGTTGATTAGAAAACCGATGTCAGATTTTCAAAATTCAAAATGGCGGATCCAATATGGCGTATGTCAAAATAAAAAATTCATCGGATTCGCTTGAAACTTTTTACTCGGGGGTTTTTGAGGTCGCTTATTACGAATCCGATGTCAGATTTTCGAAATTCAAAATGGCGGATGTAATATAGCGACATATTTTTAAAAAATTTAACGGATTCGCTTGAAACTCTTCACTCGGGTGTTTTTGAGGTCGCTTATTAAGAATCTGGTGTCACATTTTCGAAATTTAAAATTATTGTGGATCTAATGTGGTATTATATGTTAGTAAAATCGAAGAACGTAAAATTCAAAGTCTTTTGAGTGCTTGAAAAAAAGATTTTCACACCTATAGATATCTAAATTGAGAAAAGATGTATTTACAGGTCCAGATATAAGCAAAGGAGTGATTCTGTATTATATTCTAAAAACGAAACCAACTATACGAAGATCCTTTGTAGAAAAATGTGTAAAGGTTCATAAAGAAAAATAAAACTTTCAATTTTCTTTACTAGAAGAGTGTATAAATTATGCCCTAAATGTTCGAGTTTTACGTTCTTCGAATTTACTAACATATAATACCATATTAGATCCACGATAATTTTAAATTTCAAAAATGTGACACCAGATTCTTAATAAGCGACCTCAAAAACCCCCGAGTAAAAAGTTTCAAGCGAATCCGATCAATTTTTTATTTTGACATACGCCATATTGGATCCGCCATTTTGAATTTTGAAAATCTGACATCGGTTTTCTAATCAACAATCCCAAAATATTAAGAATCAGATGCTTAAGTTAAAGTACTTTCCAATTATTCTTTTCTTCCTTTTTTCAGTTTTTAGGTCGTGTAACCTAAACTTTAAATTGTTGTATCTTAGTAAAAAAAAGTCGGATCGGATCGGGTGTAGAATATTTTAAAAGATGAATAATTGTACTTTCGTTTAAAATTTGTTCCAATGATACAAAAAATTTTTTGTAGATTTTATGGAGAGTCGAATGTTGCCAGAAATGGCCTTTTTTACTCTTTTAGGTTAGAATATCTCAGAATCCTGACGTGATAGAGCAATTTCGCTGCCAGCTTTGGATTCAGGGTGACAAATTACATCGGAAATGACCTATCCCGTTTCTGGGTCTGAAACTGGTAGGCCTGTTTATCCTTACAACTACATGCGACAATTTGACTTATAATTATAAGGAGAGACGAAATGTGTTCAATCTAAATGGCACTATCCTACATTTCTCAAGTACAATTTTCAATAATTTGAAAACTTTTTTCACTACAGATAGTATTTTTATAATTTCTGTAAGATGTAAATTTTTGAAATGAGAAATATTAACATACAATAATAATCGTCAAATTCTGTTGAATGGTTTCTCTCACAAATTGTAGAGTGTTAATAGGGGATAACGATTATTATCATCAAGTGTGGAAGCGTCATTTATTAAAATGTCATAACAATTACATCTGTAACTCCCTCTCTGTCTACATTTTGAAAAACCTTTATAATTGTGTTCTACGATTTTTGACATCTCTTCGACAGATATTCTGACAATATTAACCGCAAATTATTAAATAAATTTATTATCCAATTTGTAATCAGTCACAATTCAAAAGTATGTAAATTAATCGACTTAAAGAATTATACAGAACTATATATTCATTTATTTATGAAAATATTTAAAAATATAACTTCGTCTGATTTTATATATAATTCTGCTTGGATTTAGAATTCTTATCCTTCCTAAAATTTTGTACAAGATCTTATATGTGACCAGTTGTGGAAATGAGAACACTGAAAATGTACATAAAAACAAACATAGTAATGTACAAAAGTTTTTACATTCAAGATCAGTTACTAATTTATATACATAACTGTATACCAGTACAAGGAAATGTACATAAAAATGTACAAGTTCTACAGTGGAAAATTTTTTCATACATGATCATGTATGGCTTCATGTACATTTTCAATGTTTCAATTTTCGCTAATGGTCACATGCAAGACCATGTATATTTTTAAGTACATAATTATAAACATGAAAATATACTTGATACATATACATATATTTTTAGATCCCTGCAAGTGATCTTGTACAGGGTTTTCTACCGGGTAGAAATCACAAGAGTTAACGAGATACAAAATTTTCACTAACTTTTGTTATAAAATATGATCCAATTATTGGAGAAAACATAAAAAGATTTCAAAAAGGATTATAATCAAAAAATCTGAAAAAGGTTATTATACACTGTAAAAAAGGGAGTTAAATTTTAACTCCCCAGGGGATTCTATGAAAGTCGCACCCATTTGGGAGTTAAAGCGAAGGAAGTTGGATGAAGGGAGTTAAAATTTACACAGTAAAAAATAAGAATCAACTCGATAAGGGAGTTAATTTAATTATTAACTCCAGTGACCGTCAACTCCTTAAATTTTATAAAGTGTATTTTATTCTGGGGTTATGAAAAAAAAGTTTAATTTGTAAAGAGAAAGGAATTTTTTTATTTAAAGCCAAACAATATATTGTGACATATCTATCAAAATTTAGTTACTTCGTAACGTATTAATAAACTAACAACATTTTGATAGATGTGTCATGACTTTTTAAAACGCTATCAAACCAGAAGGAAAGCATATGGGTGTAATTAAACTTTAATTATAACAAAAAATGACTACATGACAAAAGCTTTAATTTTTTCATTGACACCACTGTTTATAAGAAATTGAAGTTTGATCCTACAATAACAATTCAAAATTGTTCACGAAATTTTTTATAGATTTTTGTTAAAGAATTTAATAAAATTCCTCTCTATCGTGATTAAAACAAATACACTCAAAGCCAAAATTAAGACTAAAAGTTACTTTAAATGTCATAATAAGTTTATTAATACCTGACTTAGATTGTTTGATAATTGCTTACATTTTAATTTACTTATCTTCCAAGGGACAAATTCTTAATTCCAAGGGACCAACTACTGTACCTGACGCTTACGAAACAATCCAACTTCTATATCAAAACATTTTCTCTCGGAAGAATATTTTTTAATAAAACAAAAAAAAAACAAGCATAAAATATAATAATTGTTTTTAGATTTTTAGATATGTTTTCTCCAATAAATGGATGATATTTTTTAATATTTTTTTATCCTTTTATGAGGAACAGTGTATTAAATTTACATAAGATACACTGTATCTTATTTATTGCAAGATTTTTGACAAAGGTGCAATATAATTTTTGATTTTCTAACTCAGAAATTTAAAAAATTTTAATTGAAAATCAACTATTAGTGATAACATTAGTTTAACATTTGATAAAGTGTTAAATAAATGTAATAAAGAAAGTTTCTAAAGTAAAATTTTTATATTGAAATGAACATAATACTTATTGAACAGTTTGTAATTTGTATTAGTAAATCCTGTTTCATTTAACGATCTGAAATACGGCATGTTTCAAAGTAAGTAGAAGTGATTGTACAGTAGTTCTATAGTAAAATTATGTAATAAATTTATCGTATGGCTTTATAAATACTTATGCATCTTTAAAAATACTTACACATACTTACGAAATCTCAAAAAGATTTACCAAAGAGGTGAATGATATCACTTAATTCGATTCACCCCATAAATTTAACATGGGTTCTGATCATATCGGATTTCAAGTACTTTTAAAATCGAGTTTTTCACACCTCTAATTTACATATTCATAGAAAACTTTACGTACTATTAGAGAATTTCAATTTAAAATCAAGCATGTTTATTGTTTATGTAGTAGATGATACTATACGCCTAAAGGAAAATAAAAGGCGAAATTTAAGAAAAAATGCCTGTAGTATTAAAATACCCTGACCGGTAAAATTGTAGCTCATAGAAACTCATTTAAAAAGAGATATCCAAATATCCTTTCCTGCTAAACAAAATAAAAGTGACGAAGAAATATATTGTCCGAGTGCCTGCTAACAAATATTTTATGTTGCTTTTTCTGTTTATTTTTAATTCTGAGATAAATATTAAAATATATTCAATAACATTCTATAAAAGTTTAAAACAATTTAAATTTTTTCAAAAAATATGAATATTTTTTATTCCGTGTTATAAAATTCACGAAATCATTTTGTTTTAATTTAATTTATAATCAAATTCAAACATTCAAAATATTATCCATTTCTCATTAATAATAATTAAAAACATAACTCATTTAGATATGAAATTTCTTACTCGTAAACTTCATCTCTGATTAATATTTCACCGTTTTACTTTTGCTTTTTATCCTTATAAAATGCATTTCTCATCTTCAACGTCACTTTCCTCAAATTAAATAAAAAAATATCATTAATATAAAATTATTTTTAATATATAGAACACTACACCAACTAAAACTCCAGATCTTTGTGGAAGGTTAGAAATAGAGGAAATAGATTCAAAAGCCGAAATTGAAATATTGGAAACAACGGAATTGGGAAATAAGAACGAAACGGAAACTGCTGAAGTAGAAAATGAAAAGGACGTTGTGGTGAAGAAGGAAGAAAATTTTCAAGAAGTTATTGATAAAGACGAACAAATTAGCGAGGAATTCAAAGAAAAATACGAAAAAGAGGAAAATTTTGTAAATGAACCAAGTTTAGACGATAACTTTCAGTCTCCACCACAATTGGATGAACAAAAATTAAAGGAACTCGTGTCAACTGAAATAAGTCTTGAGAAGCAACTGGAAAGTGTTCAAAAGCAACTCTTGGCCTTAAAGCAACTACCAAGTGAAATTGAAAATCATCTGAGGATTGTATCAGAACAATTATATAAAATAATGGAACTGAGTGGTATTCGTAATGAAAAAGAAGGAAGCTGCTGCCGTTATTTCAAGGGTAAGAAAATGAAAGAAACAATACTTCTAATAGGCAAATGCTTTTGTATCTTAATTTTAATTAAGCTGTATCTAAAAAATCTTCAATTATCAAAACTTTAAATCAGAAAAATTGTCTTCTAATAAATTAGAAAAACTAGTTATCATTTTGAAGGATATGTCACGAGAGTTCTAAATATCCATGTACTATGATCGGTAGTAAACAAACCACAATAAAAAAATTAAAACAAAAGTATAACACGAAAATTTAGAACATTTTTATTGTTGGTCATCAATGAAAGAACATAATTTTTTAAAAATTTTAATATCAATAACATTTAATTTAAGTAAAATAAATACATAAATTTATTAACTAAGGTAAACAATTAATTATACTAATATTGTATGTATTTAACTATTAATATTTAATTTAGTGTATTACAACAGCATTTTCTATTAGTATACATATATATAAACACAATTGTCAAATAATATGCGATAATAATAATAATACAAGCGATTGAAAAATCCTATTACAAGAATTTCACTTTTCATATCATAGGTAAGAGGAAATATTCAGTAAAATTTTGATGAATTCGCGAGAAAGATTACTTTTCTTAGAGTGGATACAAATTACGCCTTACTAAATTGAACACTTATTACATCTTATTCTCAGCAGACATACATATTCAAAAGACGTTTATAGATTGTTTTTTGCTGATGTCTTTAAGGCCCATATTATCACAGAAGCTGTGGAATGTTGCAGTCTTTAAACAACGTTCCAGGGACAATATGTAAAAATTATTGCACATAGAAAAAACCTAGACTCACATTTGTTGCAACTCATTTTGAGATCAGTATCAAATTGAGTAAATGACAAACTTCAAGTTACTCAAAATGAGTTTGCCAGAAATTCGGATTTTTAGGTTAGTATAATTTTCAAAGTTATTTAAAATTTTAATTATTATTTATAATAATTTCAAAATATTAGAAAGATTTTTAACTCCAGTACGAATATTTAGTAATTTTCAAGAAAAAACTATTACCTAATTATTATTTATTAAAATAATAATTAATTTTATAAATTTTTAAAATTAGTGCTATTGTTTAAGTTGTTTAACGCAGCTGTCAAAACACATGTTTTCACGTTCATAACCTAAAAATGCTTCGCCTTTACTCACAATTTTATTACACGACTATAAGTAATTGACGTTGAAATAAAACAATATAATACGTCCGGTATGTTATTTTTATCGGATAATAATTATTATATTCTATAGATTGGTATAGAAATATTCGTTATTTGACGAAATTTTCTACATTCACTTTGTTACTCAAAATGAAACTGCACTGTCTCACTTCGAAACTTTTAGTTGTAACTCAAAATGAGATGTCTACTTTCATTTTTGATGCGTATCAAATCGAGTCAAATTCTTACTCACTTTGAGTCTAGGATTTTTCTGTGCAGATATATCCTAAGAACATCCCAAAATAATTATAAATTAGTGTTCTGGATATTCCTAGTTAGGGCTCTTAAATATGAAATAACGTTCAAAATGATAAAGAATAATATGTGAATTAATGAAAAAGGTTTAATAAAGTGCTTTTATGAAAGAACTACCGATTTATGCAAAAGAAAAATTATTTTATTCACTGCAGTCAAACAGGGTACTGTCGAAAATGTCTCGCTTTATACTCTACCGACAGTGAATATTGGATAATTTAAACTGATGGTATATTACGGTGGTGAGACTCCGTACACGGAAAGAAAAAGACCGTCAATCATTAATAGACTAGTATATTACTTTGAGACGGGACACAAAATCATTGAATGGATAACACACTTTGAGTCACAATCAGTGACGAGTTGCTTGCCAAAATTTAGAAAACTGTCATCAATATATAAAACTCGTTCACTAAAATTTAGAAAACTGTCTATTAAATTTTCTATGACTATCAAAAGCATTCAAAAAATTCAACTTCTTTCAGAATTATCCCTAATTTTAGACACTATTTGGTACAGAATGAACACATTTTTTTCGTTGCACAGTTCCGATATTTTATTTACACTCTTAGACGCTTTAGACCAACACATTTTCGCACTTATAATAACTACACGTATAAACGCACACTTATAACATTTTAAGTTTAGAAGTGAACTGTTCTTATATACCAAATAACAAAATTTTTCACAACTTGTGAGAAATGATTTTGCACTAATAACTACTTTTTAATTAGCGAGAAATATAAAAGAAAATATATTTTCATCGAGGTCAATTTCTAGACGCAATTCAACTGCAAATTATTAGTTAAGTTAAATATTCACATTACACATAATAGTATATAGGGATATGTATAGCAGACAGCAAAAACACATGGACTATAGAGAAACCGGAAGAAATGCGCATCGGTACACTGCGCAACAATGCGCTAGTGAAGAGCGCCGATTTAGAATACGAGTCAACTAACGTTTCACAAACTTTCACTAATGATTCGTAAACATTCAAACAGCCATTGATAACAATTCAGCATTAAATCTAAAACAATTGGTCACATACTGGCATTCTAATCAATCCATGACTCGTTTTCAATCGTTAAGTAAAGTTAAGTAACCATCAACGGAAAAAGAGTCCCGTCTCAAAGTAATATACTAATCCATTAATGGTTGACGGACTTTTTCTTTCCGTGTAGCTTGCGATTGTCTGGGTTAAGCAAACCTGAGTACAGAGTTAGTACTTGGTGACCGCGCTTCGACTCTCACTATAGCCTGGTGTTTTCTCACTAATTTCGTAATTTATCAAACGGGAGGTTTGACGTTGAGGTATAATGATGTGCACTGTCGATTATTGTCCGGTAAACACCATTAGAACTCGGCTGTCGATAAACCGGTTGTACACAGGAGATGTTTTTTACACTTTCCCTCTCCTATGGCGAGAAAACCCATTAGACGAGTGGTCCAGACAAATGAAAGTACTCTGAATTTAAAGTCGTTCCTGTAGACGCAAAATTAGTAAAAATAAAATTGTAGAAACACTTGTATAGCCAAGATTGTAGTAGGCTTAAGATGGATGTATAAGGGCAAATCCACGAAACTTCTAACTTTTATGATACTCGAATCGAACACTTAAAAGTCCGTATTATTTTAGATTAAAACTTATTGTTTAATAACATTTTCCCAAATTATATACTAAGTAACATTTATGTACAGTATTAGAACAAAATATTAATTTGTCAATTAATTTTATGAGTTTAAAATTGAAAAAACGCTTAAATTTCATTTGAAACTCTTAGAAAAGTTTACATTCTTAACGGTTTTATTTTTCCGGCGTGTAAAATATTAGTTCAGCTACAAGAAAAATAGCAAACAGACCTATGTTTTCAAACTTTTTTCACTATTCCATTAGTGTGCCATGACTGTAAGAAAAGATATGAAGGTTTGATTGAGTGACGACACTTTTTAAGAAAATTTAATTAAACGTCTTCTTATGAAAATATCTAGTGCGGCGTAGAATGAAAATAAAAGTTCAATGAGTTTCTAAATAGACAATAAAATAACGAACATTTTAAGTCCTTTTTCGGTAGTGTGCCTCTATTTGTATTCCTGTAGAAACAATTTAAAGATGTTAATAAAAATCGTGATTTTATTTAAATTTATACATTTTTGAAAGGCACAACTACAATTTTACTTCAAACACGTCCATGTATAGTGTGATCGAAGCATTGCCTCACAGATATTCAAAAAAAGTATGCCGCTCAAAGATTTTGAAAACTATCAATTTTATTAAGTTAAGAATATGCTTAAAATTTCAGAAGTTGAATTTTTAAAAATCAAAAACTTCAATTATTATAGGTTCATTATTTTTTTAAATTCGTATACTTTTGTAATTCTGTCTGCTGATTACAAAATGAACAGTGAAAATTGTCAAATTACTCATTTTTATAGTAAAAAATAAAAAAAACAAAAATAATGATTTCTCGCATTTGTCTCAGTAGCTATAAAAAATATTTTAAAATATTTTAGATAAAAGTTATAGATTTCAATAAACTAGGTTTTTCATGTTCTATGAACTTTTGACCAAAATTGAATATTTTTCGAGAAAATGCAAAAAACTGCAAACTGTCATATAAAAAACTTGAATTTTACATTAAATTTTGAATTGATTTTAAATTTTTTATTCTGAGTAAAAATTTGTAATCAGCCAATCTGTAACTAAAATTTGGTACAAACGGGTATTTTGGGTCGCTGAATCTGAAGTCAGATTTTCAAAATATTGAGTTTCTTTTATCCAATGTGTCCACCAAAATTAAAAAAAAATTTAATTATGTTTTGTGCATGGTGTAAGTAAATAACAATTATTTGTTTAAACATTTATTAAACTAGTAAATATATACAAAACCGTTATAGCTTAACAAAAATTTGCGTCTTTACTTAAATAAAATCTTATAAAAAATATATTTTAAAATAAATAGTTTAGGCTTAAAGTACTTTTGTTTCAATACATAAACTTAAAAATGCATATGTACCGAAAGTTAAATGTGATTATTTGATTAAAAAATTAAGTAAAATAAAAATATGTTACATAAGCTAAAAATTAATAATTTTACATTTTACTCACATAAATGTGATAATTTAAAAGTTCCACCTCCTGGGAAATTAATTTTGAATCTACTCAGTTATTTTTAATGTATTATATAATAAAATGTTAAAAGTTAACAGTTTCAAGCAAATTTAATAAGTTTTAAAGTCATAAGCCTTAAAGATCAGCCATTTTGAATTTGTTAAATCCGACTTAAAATTCGGAATTAGCGACCCTAAAAACCCGTGAGTAATGAGTTTCAAGCGAATCCTTTTAGTTTACAAATTCGTCATTCGCCATATTGGATCCGCCATTTTGAATTTAGAAAATCCGACATTAAATTCGTAATCAGCGACCCCAAAAACCCCCGAGTAACAAGTTTTTATCAAATCCAACTAGTTTTGAAATTTGTCATCCGTCGTAATGGAGCCGCCATTTTGAATTT